AAATTAAAATTTATCTTCATAAATTAACCATAAGTCTATATGAGACAAATAATAGTAGTATACTTAGAAAAACGGTAAGATTAAAAAGACAAAATTAACTATTAGAAAGAGTAAGAGAAAAAGTAATACAAAAGAGCATTCTAGTTTTCCTTTTTATTTAATCAAAGACTGGTGGATAAACATAAATACAGCACAATTACTTCAGATCATTCTTCATATTGTATACATACAGACCAATGAACGTAATCTGAAAGAAACCTGCAGTCAGCAATGAAATGCATACAGCTTTTTTCTTCCCTCACGCCAAAAAAAAAAAAAAAAAATTAAAAACACACAAACTTGGAATCTCATCAGCACATACTCTCCTGTGACAAATGATTCAGACATAAATAGTGGGTGCAAAGAAAGTATATGCTAACATATGTATAACCTTTGTTAATGAAAAAACAGAAGCAGCCATATTGATTAAGATACATTCAGTTACTGGTAACTAGTAGTGCCCAATAGGGCATTATCAAAAGAGAAATCGTGCTGCAGAGAAAAGCTATATATACATACACAATGAGAAAATAAACTGCAAGATTAATGCATGCATGTTTAATACTGGAAAAATCACAGCCCTCCAAAATTTCTCCACGTTTGTTATAAAAGCCCTCTGCACTCAACTAAAATTAAAATGATCTTAAAAGGATAATACTTGTAAAGTTTAAGTCTCTTCAGCCACAGAAACTGCAATGGAAATAAATGTTCAGAGTCATTTTCAAAACAAAAACAAAAATCTATTCTTCTGATGACATGCATGATTAAAAGGTCTATGCAAGATACATTGCTCTACATTCCCAATGACTAGGAAAAAAAACCTCAAGTCAATTTTTAGTTTGCAGATGGTCAAAGGATTTTGTATTCCAGCAGGAGTTCAAATCTTCTGGATCTTTTCACCAACAACTACTGGATTTTCTTTTCTGATTTTCTCAGCAGCATCAGCTTTGTAATTGTAAGAGCAATTGTGTACATCTGAGTAACGATGCACACCACAGTAAACATTTCCACACCGGCATTCAAACCCTAAAAATGGATTAATACACATAAATGAGCAGGATGGAAGGTGAAATATTAAGTTCTTTGGCATAATTAATATTAAATAGCATTATGTATTTAGGGCAGTAATCTAAACATTCTACAAAAATGGTTTCACGAACTACATTCTCAGAGTTCACTAGCTGAGAGCTTCACTTCTTGTCCTATCTATAAATATAGGTTTGTACTAGGATCAGATCATAAACACTTCTCTGAGTTCAAGTTTCTTCACTTGTGACATGATCAGCGTTACTTCCTTATCAAAATATGTTTTCTAAATTGAAAATATTAAAATTTTTAACTTTTTTAGTTGTAGACCTTTATTTTGTTTATTTATTTTTATGTGGTACTGAGGATCAAACCCAGTGCTTCACATGTGGAAGGCAAGTGCTCTACCACTGAGCTACAATCCTAGCCCCTAATTTTACTTTTAAACTATTAAAACAAACAAACAAAAAAAATTGTGGTACTAGGGATGAACCCAGGGATGCTCTACCACTGAACTACATGCCCAATCCTTTATATTTTGAAACAGGGTCTCACTAAGTTGCTTAGGGCCTTGCTAAATTGCTGATGCTGGCTTCCGACTTGTGATCCTCCTACTCCAGCTTCCCAGGTTGCTGGGATTACAGGCATTTGCCACTGGGTCCAGTTACTTAGGGCTTTGCTATTTTGCTGAGGCTGTCCTTGAACTTTCGAACCTCTTTCCTCAGTCTCCCTAATTTCTGGGAGTCTGGGATTATCGGTGTGTGCTACCACACTCAGCAAAGTGGAATATTTTTAAAAACTCAAATACTGCAATGTAAAAATAAGCCTATTCAAGAAACCAATCTTAACATTTAATTAAGAAAGATAAAATAAAATCTCTGAGAGAACTGTTAACAAAGAACACAGTATTCAAAATAGCCTTCTTTTGCTAACCTCAGGTGGAGATGTGAACTGTACTAGAGTGGAGTGATTAAAAAAGCATGGGATCCAGAGTTAGGTTGCCTAAGTATCAATCTACTTACTAACGTAGGCAAATTACTTAGCCTCTTTGGGCCTCAGTTTCTGCATCTATAATTTTGGAACAATAAGGTACTGTAAGGATTAAATGAGGAATGGATCAGGTGCTTAACATATGGAAAACATGCAATAATTGCACTTATTTTTAGGGAAATGCCCAAGAATTGAAATCAAAATAGAGACTGACATGTGTGGACAGTCTTGCTCCCCCAAATTAGGATTCTATGTTATGATGGAATTTTTGTAATGGAGCATAGGAATCAATATTTTAAACACTGATATTTGACATTAATTTCTTTCATCACATTTTTTACTTCAGAAACATTCTGTAACTTCAAATAATGAAAGAGAAACAAAGCAAACAATACTAGGTTAGACTGACAGATTGGACAAGAAAGAAATTATGAAGTCTCAGCTTTGTAATCATGAAGTCAGAGAGGACAAGATTTTAAAAGACCCTATTTGATAATACATTTTAGAATTTCTTATCTATGTTGTAGTCTTTAAATAAATACATTATTTGCTAAGGTATGAGGCAGTTTAAGACATCTCTGATCAGACTTTATAATCTTTCTTCATTGTCTCTAATCATTCCTTAGCCAGAAGTAATCTTCCTAAAGCATAATTTTTACTCAATATCTTATCTCAGTCCATAAGTCAGGATTTTATGTAAAGTGTTCAGCATAATGCCTATCCATGGTAAACAATAAACGTACTTATAGCTGTAATCAGTTTCTAATTAACCTCAGTAAAAACCTCAATCTTTAGCTCTATCTTGTCTCGATGATATTCAATACCCTTCTTCACAGATCCTGTACTATGGTTATGTTCCCCAATTCACAGTCCCTGAACAGGCCCCTATATTGCTTCTTGGGGATTTGGTTCAAATATTTCTTTCTGCCTGAAATGTTCCTATTCCCGTCACCTGTAATTCCTACTCATGGTTCCAGACCCAGGGCAACAGCCTAATTCATGATACTTTCCTTGCCAGGTCTTTACTCCTTTTATAAAAATTAATTGCAGTACTCCTGTCTTCTGACTTCCAAGTGGCAATATGACTGAACTTAATGTAATGTTCTTTGCTAAACAGTTTGGAACATTTTATTCTCCCTCTCTCAACTGTACTGATATGTTGTTATAGTAGCCAACATATATTGATTACACATTGTGTGGCACCCACTAAGTTAATTACTTACATGTCTCAACTCACTGAACCTGCACCACAACTTATGATTAGCCTCATTTTATGTATAGAAAGCACTTCATGGTTCACCACATACTTTAAAATATCCTCTCCTTGAAGACAGAACTACATGTTAGCCTTTTCATAGCACCTGGCATACTGGAATTACTTGTCTAATACTCTCAAATTTAGCTGGAATGAATTTTTAAAGAAAAAGCTATTCAGTTTACTTTCAGGTACATAATTAAAGCTATTTTTATTTCTTTGAGAAAATTCATAAGCTGAAGTACATTTAATGGAAACTCTCCTGGGAATAGAAATAATCTTAACTGAAGTTAGTAATAATAAGACATGTATTATTTAAAAACATAATTAAAAACCATTTGGTTTAGGTCCTTACCGGTAAGTCCCACTTTCTTCCTGCACATGAAACAGCGATTCTTTTTTTGTTTTGGTTTTTCAAGAGATTTGCTTTGCTCTTCAGATGGCTGCTGTGCTGTATCTGATACTGAAGCTGACAAAAATAGGAGGGTAGTAAAATTTAATTATTCAGTAAGATTTTGATATTTGGGTTGTGTCCTCACTCAACTATCCCACCAATCTTTATTCAGAAGATTACTTATTTATTAGCTTGGAAAGATGGTCATAAATTACAAAATATTTATAAAATATGGCTCCCTTTTGGTTATAAATGTGTTTGTGCATACACATGTAGAAAATAATCTAGAATATATAACTGACATGTTAATAGTGACTCTAGAAGATGAACTATAGATTTTCTTCTTTTGGTTCAAACTATTTTTAAATTTTTCTATTTATGTATTTGATAAACACTACCTGGGTATCCTAAGGGGACATGCAACAAATGGTTATATGTAGACTTCTTAATATTGTTTGGGGTCAGAATTTCTCAAAGAACAAGAAAATAGTGTTCAACAAGATCTTGTGAAACACTAAGTTTGTTTACAGTCCTCAGAATGTTTCACATAAAAGCATTTAAAATGTTAGGAAAAAGATAAACTAGTGCAAAAAAGTTTTAAAATATTTAAAATAAGATAATAAATTAATGCATTTAAATACTGAAACCAAGATCAGATGCATTAAGATTCAGGTAAAATTAGTGTTCCTAAATCCTAACTAATGTGCTCCACTCTTGCCCCTAACCACTCTGGCTCTCCTGAGTGCTGTCACCAAAGTCAGAGTCTATAACAAAACCCTGCAGACATGACATCTTGTTTTGAAACAGTGACTTGCCATGAGTCAAGTACTCAACCTCCTCCAATAATTAAGCCTTCCTCAGGAATCCACTGCTCAACCCATGAATACCAGGAATATGCTGCGAACTGTTCAATAGGGCTTTCCACTTTCTTCATTCAATCTAGGTTCTCTTATTTTTTTTTTTTAAGACTATCAAATACCCTTTCCTCATTTCAGTTCTTTGTAGCTTTTCACTATGATTACACTTAATATCCTTAGCACATACTGGACACTCTATATAAGCCCTCTTCTTCAACTATGATTACCACAATGCATCCATTAGTGAAAATCTAATGACCCCTCTCTGATGTTTAAAATTCTTTGGTGGTTTCCCATAAAAGGTCAGGGTAAGGCCCAGGGGTCCTTCATGATTTTCTTCATTCTTGTCTCACCAATCCTCAATGATATAGCATGCTTCAGCCATACTGAAATATTAGTTTCCGTACACTTACCAAATTATCTCACTTCTGGGCTTTTGTCTAAGTTGTCCTTTTCATGTGACATGTCTTTTTCCATGCCACTTCTTTGTAGCTGGCTAACTCCAACTTGTCTTTCTTTTTGAAGCTTACATAATCAACTCTTACTCTGCTGCCTCCCTGACAACCTTGTAATGGAACACCCTATCCTGTGCTCCCACATCACTTTTTACACTAATTGCTCATTTGACTTAACATAGCTTCTTATGAATTCTAGTGCCTCTAACCACTCAATAAATAAATATCTGTTGAACTGAATTACAAGGTACTTATCTTTTGTATCTATGTGTCCTGTTTCCTCAGCTTCACTGTAATCCCCTTGAGGAGAGGGATGAAATCTTACTCTCTATTTGAATCTACAGCACCTCTTACAGTGAACTACATGTAGATGCACAAACATTTGCTATAATGGATTCCAACTTTTTTGCTTTTTTTTTTTTTTGGTAGTGAGGATTGAACTCAGGGGCACTTGACCACTGAGCAACATCCCCAGCCCTATTTTGTATTTTGAGACAGGGTCTCACTGAGTTGCTTAGTGCCTCGCTGTTGCTGAGGCTGGTTTGAATTCTTGATACTCCCACCTCAGCTCCCAAACTACTGGGCTTACAGGCGTGTACCACTGCACTTGGCTTCTAACCTGCTTATGTTAACATACTATCTCATATTTTGACAAAATACGACATAATACTACTTATTATGCATTATTAATGCATAATAAGTAAATATGCATTAATGAAGAAATCCATAGCATAATTACTCCACCTAAACACACTAAAGCTAGACTTGAAAAAGTTCTAGTAATAAAAACATTTTACTTTTGAAACAGAATATGAACATGCAAAACCATTTATTTTCAGTAACAAATATCCCTAGAATGTGAGTTCTATGAGGGCAAGAACTGAATGTCATGTTTTACTGTTTTATCCTGAGAACCTAGAGAAAACTCAAAAATAATCTAACCTGCAATCAGAAATGAGACTATTATATTTATTGTCTTTGAAATCTACAGACATAATAGCGAATTTGTTTTCTAAAAAATTATTATTCAAATAAACTAATAGAGAAAATGCTCTAATGGCAGTACTATTGTCACAGATTATAATTTTTAACAAAACTGGTTTTAATTATTGATACTAAAAATGGCATTTGGAAATGCATACAAATGCTATTATTACATACCTCAGCAAAGACATTTCACAATATTGACACTAAAGATTTAAGGCAAATAGTTTCTGTCTTTTTTTGAGAAGGGGTTTTACTGTATTGCCCAGGCTGGCCTTGAATTTGTGATCCTCCTGCCTCAGGTTCTCAAGTAGCTAGGATTATAAGTGTGTGCCATTGAACCCATCTCAAATGGTTTCTTTTCAACTGAGGAAAACGTACAACTTTTAAAGTTAAAGATTAGTAGGCTATCTAAAAGCGAATAAGCTAGGGCTCAAAGTTAGGTCCAATAAATGTTAAAGTATATTTCCATGAGATGAAAGTTAACTCCAGCTTATTGAAACTAGTGACTGATAGCTCAAATTTAAACACCAAACATGGGCAAGATGATATAGTACTCTGTAGAAGTCTATGCTTTCCAGAAATTACCCTGTTTCCTCAGTTTGCATTTGAGATGAAAAAATATCTTATCAAATTCTAGTAAAAGGAAATAATTCAATCGCTAAGAGCTATATATACAGTGGCCAAAAGGTCACAGGGTCATAATCCTATTGAACCTAAAGCCAAAATAAGGAGAGTCTCCTCAGAACTAGGTAGTTTTCACATTTGGAAATGAGAATTGGAAACAGACTGACTATTTATTAATAATTAAAATAGACAAATGACTATGTTGTATCCACTGGTCCTAAAGGTCTATATGGAAGGAGGCTATGAGATGGCATAAAGGCTGTGAAATAAGATGTATGGATGGCACTTGTACTGGCCACTACTGTTAAGATATTTCAGAAAGCAATGGGCAGGTAAAATAGCTTTAACTACCCACATGGAGGATCACATTCAAGAGAAACAAGGCCCTCTGCTCTGGGTCCTGTTAAAAAAAAAAAAAAGAAGAAGAAAAAGAAAAAAAGTATACAAATACATAACAAGTATATAAAACTAAACACTACTTCTGAATGGGGCATATTCATATACACACTGTAAAATAAAGCTGAACTTAAGGTATTAATAGGTAACGCCTAAACATTATCTTAATGTAAATAATTATCTTGGCAGTAGATGTTATATCTATGTAATATAATATATATCCTTTATCTATAATATACATATCCTTTCCTCAAAGAGTCATGACAAGTTTCCTCATTCAAGAATCAGAGAGGGGCTGGATATAGCTCAGTTGGTAGAGTGCTTGCCCCGCATGCACAAGAACCTGGGTTCAATCCCCAGCAAGGCAAGGGTTCTACCATTGAGCTACATCCCAGGTCCAGAATTAGAGGTATTTTGAGGACTGTGACTACTTCTGATTATCTCTGTACACTCAGTGCTGAGGCAGAGCAAGAGCTCCATAGATACTTTGAATTAATATGCTTTTACAGCAACCCATTGGGATAAAATGCATTTCTCCTCTTTAAACCTCATTTTTCTTTCATGTAAAATGAGGATTTAAAGACTGAGTGAACTGTAGGATACACCTAACTTGAAATTTCTTTATGAAATGAAACAATTTCAATATTCAAGAAAAAAATAGGCCTGTATTAGAAGTAGAATCAAAAAGAAATGAGTGTTATACATTTAATATTTTTTAGAAACAACAATAAAAAGTAGAAAGAGATAAAATACATTATCATTTCAAAATGTAATCCATATAAAAAAGTATTAATTAAATATTTTACAGTTTAGGGGTATTAAGTCTTCAAAACCCAGTGCACACATCATACAGTATAACTAACACATTATGCACTAAAAATCTTATTTTGATCAGATACATTTCATGAGCTCAATAGTAGTCAGGAGTAATAATCCCAGTATCAGAAAGACAGAGAAGAGAAAGGAAGAACAGAAACAGGGAGGGTGGGAAGAAGGAAAGAAAGCTCATGAAGCTAGTGGTCAACATACTGTACCAGAGCACCCTACAGAGATCAGTTTCTCTTAGTAGTTATTTGGGATAAAAACTGGTACATTAATCTTGTAGTTCAGTGATATAGCACATGCTTAGCCTACATGAGGCTCCCGAGTTCAATCCTCAGTACCAAAAAAATTTAAAAAATCAAAAAACAAAACCCCAAAACTTTAAAATGACTCTTTACTAGTGATTTTCCATTTTCTGACTACAACCACCTTTCCAGCTTTAGTTCTAACATACACTATTTGCACCAGCCACTTTAGCAGGTTGTTTTCTATTTCCTAAATTTCATGTTTTTCTACCTGTATACTTTTCCTCAGCAAAATTCTTGTTTGCTGGCTTATGAGTATGTGTGGGTATTATAATTCACATACTATAAAATTCACCCTTTAAAATATACATAAAATTCAGTGTTTTTATATATTAACAAGATTGTAAAATCATTATCCCTGCCTAATTCCTTAACATTTTAATCACTTTAAAGCAAACCTCATATATATTAACTCTCCACTTCCCACAGCTCCTGGCAACTCCTAATCTTTCTGCATGTACAGATATGCAGCATATTCTATCTAAATTGGCAGGAGATGGCATGTGGCCTTTAGTAGCTGGCTTCTTTTATTTAGCACAATATTTCAAGATTCATCCATGAGTGGCATAAATCAGAATTTTCTTCCTTGTCTGAATGATATTCCAGTATATGGACATAGTTTGTTTCTC